AGTATGAGCCACACTCTGGGGTATCGCCTTTGCTCTCTGTGAGTTGGCAGCTTAATGAAGGAGATGAAAATGAAACAGTATAACGCTTGATAAGACTCCCTCGTGATAAGAGCACTCTGGGACCTGAGAGTGGGGATGCCGCACCCAGAAGGGCAGTCCAGAAAAGCATTCTGGAGGGGGCCATGTCTGAACTGAAAGCTGAAGAACAGTAGGACTCAGCTGGGCATGGAGGAATGATGAGGATGGGGGATAATGCTGAGAGGCAGAGGACGCAGCACAGCAAAGACCTGGATGTGAGAGAACGGGGCGGTCAGAGGAGGAGGGTCATGGCTGGGATTAAGTGGTGCGGGGAGAAGCAGGCTGAGATCACGTCTTGATGAGTCCTACTCAAGAGCCAGCAGGGGACGGCCTCAGGTTTACACTTGAGAAGTCTTCCTGAAGTGCCAGGAGTGGGTTGTGTTGGGATTGGATGAGGAGGAGGAGACCAATGAGGAGGCTAGAGCAAAAATGATGGTAAAGAGGGCTGCCTGGGTCACATCTAATGCTGGTGGAGACAAACCCACATCTAGGGGACACTGAGGAACTGTCAACTTGCTAAGGACTTGGTTAAGCACAGTATAACTTTAAAAAATACAACCCCAAAACTTGTTTGTTCACTTTTGACTGTACTGGGTCTTTGCTGCCACGCGGGCTTTCTCTAGTTGTGGCAAGCGGGCTAGTCTTTATTGCAGTGAGCTGGATTCTCATTGCCGTGCTTCTCCTTGCAGAGCACAGGCTCTAGGGCACACAGGCGCAGTAGTTGTGGTGCTTGGGCTTCGTTTCCTTGTGGCGTATGGAATCTTCCCAGACCAGGGACTGAACTGTGTCCCGTGCATTGCAAGGCAGATTCTTATCCACTGCACCACCAGGGAAGTCAACAGTGTAAGAGTTAAACCATGTAAGTAGGATGGAAGTTCTGACAGTTGCTGAGTTTGCAGCGATAGGTTTGGGGATAGATGGATTACAAGACAAAGAGCAACCCATGCTTGTGTGCTTGCTAAGTTGCTTCAGTCATGTCTGACTCTCTGACCTTACAGACCATAGTCCGCCAGTCTCCTCTGTCTATGGAATTCACCGGACAAGAATACTGGAGTGGGTTGCCATGCCCTCCTCCAGGGGATCTTTCCGACCCAGGGATCGAACCCAAGTCTCTTGCAGCTCCTGCATTGCAGGTGGATTGTTTACTGCTGAGCCACTGGCAAAGCCCATATCAACTCAACTCATAATTAGTCATCTTCCACAATCCTCCTTATTGCCTACACAGATAACTGCATATTTTCTGGTCTGTATTCTGTGACTGTTGTTGCTTTGCTTTGTTTGTGATTACAATTTCCACAAGGTGCCTGACAAATCATTGGTAGTCCCAGCCATCCTTGGAGCTTTGACAGTGATGGTACGTGACAGTGTTAGTTGCTCAGCTGTGTCCGACTCTGTGACCCCATAGACTGTAACCTGCCAGGCTCCTCTGTCCATGGGATTTCCCAGGCAAAAATACTGGAGTGGGTTGCCATGCCCTCCTCCAAGGGATCTTCCCAACCCAGGGATGGAACCCAGTCTCTTGCATTGCAGGCAGATTCTTTACCATCTGACCTACCAGGGAAGCCCCTTGGAGCCCTTGGAATCTAGAAATCAGAATAAAGAGTCACATTCATCAAAATGAGCAAAAAGTGACATTGCCCAGGAAAGGCACTTTCATTGCTTTTCATTCTCTCTTCAGCTTGATGAGGAGAGCTTTCTGTGTTTTATAATCCTTGGAACTGTGCTTTATTGTAAGATCCTGGTAGATGTGTCAGACCAAAATTGTTTATTGAGTACCAAATAATTAGCAAGTGCCTTCTAGGTGCAAAGCAATGGACAAAACTCACATTGTTCTTGCTGTCATGGAGCCTACATTCTAGAAGATAGAATGCTGTATTTTGATGAAAAGTGGTAAAATTTTTTTTCAAGTTGTTTTTGGCATCAGATGGCAGTATAGGAAAATAAAGATATTTGTATATCAGCTCCTTCTGATGTTTCTTTCCCATGTGAGACAGTGTGAGGATTATGTGAGTTAAAAGATGACTAATGCTTAAGACTTGGTAAGTTAATTGATGTTAGCCATTTCATGTTACATGATAAATGGTTTATTTTGCCCATCTTTCTTACTGACTCAGGAGGGTTGTTACCACTAAATCAGGAAGATTACTATTATTATCTGTCATTCACAAGCTCCATCTGACAGCCAGGCTTCAGCAGCAGCCTCTATTCAGATAGACTTCAATCTAGTCTATCTGCATCCTTTGTCTACCGAATCTATTCTCCATCTTGCAGCCAGAGTAAAGTTTATGTTCTTAAATTAGTAGCTGCTGTTGCTCCTATAAACATTTCCATGAACTAAATGGCTTAAAGTAATATTAAATACATTCTTAACCTTTTGGATGTCAGAGGTCAAAAAATCGGTTTCATAAGGCTAAAATAAAGGTATTAGCAGCGCTGTGCTTTTTTGGAGTCTTCTAGGTGCAGTCTGTTCACTTGCCAGGTGGCCATTCCATTTGCTCTCTCAGATTCTGGGACTTTTTTTTGTTGCCTAGCTGCTAAGTAGTGTCTGACTCTTTGTGACCCCATGGACTGTAGCCCGCTAGGCACCTCTGTCCAAAGGATTCTCCAGGCAAGAATACTGGAGTGGGTTGTCATTCCCTGCTCCAGGGGATCTTCCTGATCCAGGGATGGAACGTGCGTCTCCTGCATTGGCAGGTGGATTCTTTACCACTGAGCCCCAGGGAGGCCCCGCTGGGACCTATGATCCTGTGTCAGAGTGACCCATCCTTCTCTTCTCATGCTTTGTCCCTCAGCCCCTTGCCTTTCTTTCCCTGTTCCATTCTTGTGGTTTTATTGGACCCATCCAAATAGCCCTGATGGTCTCTACAATTCAGGATCCTTAACTTACATATGCAAAGTTCCTTTGCTAGGTAATGTTACATATTCTCGGTTTTGGGAGTTAGGTGATAGATGTCATTCGGGGGTTATTATTTTGACTACCACAATTTCCATTTTGTCATTGAACAGTGCTTAGAACACTGGGGGGAGTGACTATTAATTTGGGTATAAATGTCCTGCATAAAGCTTTTCTATGCATTCCCGTTACTTTTTTCTTTTTTAAAGATTTTTTCATGTGGACCATCTTTTTCAAGTCCTCTATTGACTTTGTTACAACATTGCTTCTCTTTCATGTTTTGGTTTTTTTGTCCGCAAGGCACGTGGGACCATAGTTCCCTAACCAGGGATCGAACCTGCACCCCCTGCATTGGAAGGTGGAACCTTAACCACTGGACCTCCAGGGAGGTCACCCTATCACTTTTTCAGATTGAAGACCAACACCCCTCACATGGCCTTGGAGGACTCTGTGGAGTAGGCCAGCCCGTCATTTGCCTGGACATTTTCATGGGTATTTCCTCTTAGCTCCTCAGGACCTTGCCTTGGCCTGTGCTTAAACCTTCCCTCTCATTCTGCTCTCAAATCCTTTTGTCTGTTTTCCTGCCTCTGTCCACTTGGGGAGAAAACTCTGCTTCCTTAGGGAGTATCCTCCTGGGCTTCTCTATGCTGGTCAAAAAGGGAATGCATGCGGTCTTGAAGCCTGGAGCTCCCCTTGACAGCACTTGACCGCAGCTTAGCAGTTGGTGTTCTTTATGTCCTCTGTAAGCCCTGTGAAAGCAGTAACTATTTCCATTGTGTACTCAAGGCTGATCATTTATTCAGTGCTCCACAAATATTTGTTAGGGGGATGGACTTAAAATGAAAGGGTAGTGTGCCTGTCAAGTTTTGGTTGTGTTCGTCAGTGCAGTGTCGTAGCCACAGGCAGAAGGGTGTTCTGGGTTTCAGGGTGGGTTTGTTCACTAGCAGAAGGCAGGAGATGGTTAATTATTGAGCAAAGCCATCCAGCATTTTTCATTGTTCAATAGTTAATTTCATTATTCAGTCATTTTGAGACCCTTCTTCCGTCTCTTTAAAAGTGAGTATAAGACTTAACTGTCTAGCATGAACATGTAGGATCTCACAGGCAAAGAATGCCTTTAAATTTTAAAGTGACCCTTAATCATAGTTGATAACATGGGCCAGAGGCAGTTCTCCTGGCTTGGGCCTGTCCGCTGTGGAGCTCTGAGCGTGTGATGATGTTTGCCTCTGTTAGCCCTGGTGTTCCAGAGAAGTCTGCCCAGCCCCACTGCAGCCAGGGCCTCTCAACGCCATGGACAGAAAGCGTCTGTGTGTCACTCTGTCTTGAAGAAAGTGTTGTAGAACAGAAAGAAATTGGTCTGTTTTGTATCTAACTCAACAGATGAATTCCTTTAATTTTATGTTTCCTTAATATATGTTTTCTGTTTTATTTAAGCCTGATTTATGCTTACACAAATTTAATTAGCTGAGTTTCCCTATTTAAGCTAAAATATTTCACCTTGATGTAAGCCAAGTTTAGTTCAGTAATCCAACTTTGTTGCTGACTCGATGGACTTCTGAAAGAGGCAGAACTTCTAAAAGCCAAAAGTGCTTTGAATTGTTCCTATGCAAAGAAGAGAATTATTTGGAGGAAGAAGAGCAACCTAAAAGCATAGTCTTACATTTTTTTCTTTCAATCTACTGATGTATATTCTAATTATTCAATTTCACCCTAAGAAATGCATGATATGTATATCTTATCTTTGTTTTACCATAAAGGAACATCTGTGTTTCATCACAAAGGTACTTTCACACTATGTATTGAAAAACACTACTTCTATTTATGTATTTCTATCTACAGTATGAAAAATTCAAATTCTTAACCCCGTTACTAGACCTAATTAAAATGCATAAAGTTGACTTAGTTAATAACTTTGAATTTTTAACGTCCTTATGAACATGTATTTGTACTTTTTGGTAACCCAGTTTTGTTACTAACTCAGTTGTTTAAGAATCCACTGATAGGAAAAGTGTGCATCCTTTCCTTGCAGAGTATCTTGGATAAAGGACATTGTTGTGGCAGTAACTAGAGAGAACATGGAAACAATGAAGGGAATTATTCAGAGGTACCAGCATAAACGCATCTCACTGGTTGAAGCTGGAGTGACCCGCCACAGGTCAATTTTTAATGGTCTGAAAGTACTGGCAGAGGATCAGCCCAGCCGTAGACTCTCAAAGCCAGAAGTAGTAATCATCCACGATGCTGTGAGACCATTTGTTGAGGAAGATGTCCTCCTCAAAGTTGTCACCGCTGCTCAGGAACATGGGGTAAGTATTTGAATACTTTTGAGAATGGCTAAAAGGGGCAAACACTATAACACACAATTGATTTGCTAGATTTTGATGGAATAATATTCAAATGTCAAGTTAGTTAAAATGGGCAAGATTACCTAAGACATTATGCTAATTTGTTTTAGGAAGTTTATATTAATATAGATTTTGAGACTGTTCTGGAATTTCTTTTGCTATGTAGTCGTTTATCATAATATAATATGAGCTATTTGGAGAAGAATGTAATAAAGTCGTTAGAGTACAGATATGAATGGGTGGACCTTAGCTGCATATTTAGTTCCATGCTTTTACCTAAAAATGCCTGAGAAATCTTGTAAAAGTCTAGGAGTTGTATGACTTAAAAAAAAAAAAAAAAACACACAACCCTGGCTCATTTCACTCGATTTTTCAGTCTTCAAAAGTGGTTTATTTTCTGGCACAGACAGCCAGGCAAGATTTTTACATCCCCTAAAGTGAATAATCTTAGGATGACGAAGTGCTGCGCTCACTTCTGTTTCACCAAAATAAACACGGGATAGCAGAAGGCCTCTTGTAATCTTTGGGGCATACTTGTTTTTTTAGACTAATAGGCTGAAATCCTATAAATAGCATAATAGTTACTAAACTTAAGTTGGTGGTCTGAATTTGAGACTTAGTAAAAATTTATGGCCTAGACTTGGTATAGTATAATAGAAATAGGCTGTGGAGTTGAACAGACTTAGGCCCAATTCTGTTTTTCTATTTATTAGATGTATAATATGTTCGACTTTCTCAACTTCTTTGAGCTCATTTTCCTTCTAAAAATATAGATGCTAACTTGTAAGGTTGCTTTTAGAATTGGAAATTATATATATATTAACTGCATAGTAAAGTGCTAAATATTTAAAGTGGTATTACTGTAAGAATTACAGCATCTAAGACAGTAGTTTCCTCCAAAGATTGTAGACCAAGGGAAGGAGTCACTGCAGGCTTTTTAGCCATCTGGGTGGGCAGGAAGTTATAAAATACTCAGTTGGGAAAGACAGTCTCTGATTAGTTATCTATATGTATTTGGATTTTCATTTTCGGGAAATTGCTCCTTATTTCATCTCTCTCCAACATGAATTTCTTTACAATTTAGATGTATATAAGAATTCCATAGGTGAAGTGAAACCTGTTTCTTATCTTCAGTACAACCTCTGGGTGGTGTTTTGATGTAGTGGAAATTGCGTTGCAGAAACATTAGTGACCACAAGACTGTCTCATCGCTCTTGTGTGTTCTGTGGGCTCTTGCTTTTCTCCATGCTCCTTGCCTGTGGTAGAAGCAGTGTGGTCAGGTTCAAGGGTGACAAGGAGAAATAAAAGACAAAAGAGATAACTGTTAAGAATTTGAGTAAAACTTTACAAGTTTAAAAGTTCTTAGGAAAGTCTATGTAATTTGGGCAGATGCAAATTCTAATGCATACCATAGTACAAATAAAATTATGGCTCTTTGCCTATTTACCTTCTGGAAAAATATCACTTAAACCTCACTGTGAAGATCAAACATTTGGATTTTTTTAAGTATTCAGAGAATTTCTAAGATTGTTTATAAAGTGATCCTTTTAGTAATGTGTCTGAAAGACAAAATATTTGAGCCAGTTAATGTGCTGAGAATGTCATTTAACTGGTGACTAAAAAACAGGTGACCAATAAAACAGAAAAATGAGGAGCAGTTAGTGGTTTCTTGTTAGTTGCAGATTTGTTAGAATTCCTTTTAGACTCTAATTTTCTTAAGTGTGTTAATCAGAATATAACTTGTAAGATTCAATCTCATTATGCATCCTAGGTAAAGCAAATTGTATTTTAATTAAATATGAAACTTTCTGATGACATTAAGAAGTTGGTTTAAAGCAAAATCTTTACAACAAAGTTAAGAAAACTTCAGAAGTTTGGTCTCTTAAGAAATACTGCATTGTATTGTTTTTGTTGGTGTTAAGGGATAATTTTCATGAGCGTAAAATTATTTTCATAAAAATATAAGGAGCATGTTAAGGATTTTACTGCCATCAGGAACCACACAGATGTTACAATCCAGAGAAGAGCAAATTTATATGGAATAAAGGAATGTTGAAATGAATTCGCAAATAGACAGAGTTATATTTTTGCCCATGGCGTGTGGGGTGCCAGTTGAACTGGGCAAAATCTATTGGCAAGTGTATAGGCAGCAATGATTTTTGATTTACTGTCAGTTATCTATAATTTATGAGAGTTGTAAAAGAGCTCAGGGGCAATGAAAAGCTAGTTTCTGTTACTCAAGAACAGTTTGCTTTAAACAGTACAGTTTTGAATTGGGTCATTTATTTTGCTCATTCTAATTTACTTATAATGTTGAGGGGAGAGACCCAATAAATAGCCTCAGGAAACTGAAACATTATTTCCTGTCACCTCTCCTACACTGTTCTAAATTCTAATTAAAAAACAAAACATCTATTAATTGAGACTTACACTATTAGTAGTTAAAGTTCTTGAACTGGGGGGAAGAATTGGCATCGTTTTTAACCTGAGGTAAATTGCAGAAGCCCAGTCTGAATCAAAGATTTTGCTTCGAGGACCTTGAGGATTGTTTGCCTGGGATTCCTTTGAACTCATTCTCCTTTGTTATTTTAAATTGTGTTTAACTGATTACCTGTTTTCTTGCCTCTTAATTTTCAAGCCCTTCCCAAAGGTCCCTTAAGATAAATCATCTCCTGAATAATTTTCTGAGGAAGTGACAGACCCTTGGTGGGTATACAGGCTTAAGATAACTCTGATGTTTTAACTTACATTACATTTTGGTTTAAATTCTGAATTAATGGTGATGTATTACTTTAAGAGACTAAAATTCTCCAAATTAAGGGTGAAATTAGGTTGTCTGCATATGGGGTCTCAGAAGTGTTGCCAGGACACCAGTTCCTTTCTTTCATCTGTGTATGCTGCATTCTTGTTCTTGGGTTCCATAGAGGCAAGATGACTTCAGTAGGGTAGCTGTTAATCATTTCTTTTGCTTTTCTTTTCTTTTACTTTTAGTTTTTTAACTTTGGATAGTTGGTCAGAGTATAAAATTCTAAGTGTATAGCTCTTTTTTCTCTGGTACCTTGAAAATACATTATGTCATTATCTCCTGACTGTAATACACCTTTTGTGAACTCTGCTAATGAATATAGTGGTATCCCTTGAAAGTAATCTTCCTTTTCTGTCTGGTTGCATGTAAGAATTTTTAAGCTATTGTGCAGTGTCTCTGGTATGTCAAAATATGATGTTCCCCCCCCCCTGTGCTTTGGATTTATTGTTCTTTATGAATTTTACATTTTGTTTAAAATGAATTCTAGAGAATCCTAAGTGATTATCCCATTGAATACTGGCCTTGTACCATTTGCGACCTGACAGCTGTTTCCCCCTTGTGCTGCTTTTTCTCCTTATGCATCTACGTAGGATAAACCTTTTCTTGTCTTCATGTCTTAACTTGTTAAAACTTTCGATTTGTTCTTGTGGGCCGCCTCCTGGGTAATTCCAGTTTTCTATTCCATTCTTTAGCTTTAATCTTTTCCTAAAGTATTTTTGCAGTTGTATTAATTATCACTTTCTAGGAGTTCTGTATATGTTTCAAATGTGATTAGTCTTTTTCTATTTTGTTTTTCAGTATTTAAACATACTTCATACATTGTGGATAACAGTAACTCTTGATAGCCTGATTCGTTTCAATTCTATTCACTTCTATTCCTGATTTGTGTCCTCTTTTGCAATTTGTACTGTGAAGCCCATGTTTGGCAGGACTCTGAACAGGAATCCTTTGGACATGGGATAAAGGTATGTTTCTGAAATGTGAATTTGTGTTCCCTCTGCCAGGGATTCCACGGACTTTTTGAATTTGTAGCAACTTCTGGCAATTTTGGGGTTGAGATTTTGTAGACATTGTTAATTGCTAAATCGTGTCTGACTCTTGGGCGACCTTGTGGACTGTAGCCCACCAGACTCCTCTGTCCATGGGATTTCCCAGGCAAGAATATTGGAGTGGATTGCCATTTCCTTTCCCAGGGGATCTTCCTGATCCAGGGATTGAACCCATGTCTCCTGCATTGCATTGTATTGCAGACAGATTCTTGACCACTGAGCCACCAGGGAACACTACTTTGAGGACACTATGGTGGTGTTAAACCAAATTTCAAATGCACAGAGTGTAGACGATTAATACTATTTCTTAAAGGAGACTACTGCCACACCCAGCTTGCTTGCTCCCCTGCCCCACCCTGATCCCAATCCAGGACAGACAATTTTGCTGTATTGTCTTTGCTTTGAGTGCAGTTTTTTCCCCAGTCTGCTCTTTAAATGCTATTTCAAATCCTAAAAAATGATGCTGTAAAAGTGCTGCATTCAATATGTCAGCAAATTTGGAAAACTCAGCAGTGGACACAGGACTGGAAAAGGTCAGTTTTCATTCCAATTCCAAAGAAAGGCAATGCCAAATAATGCTCAAACTACTGCACAGTTGAGCTCATCTCACATGCTAGCAAAGTAGTGCTCAAAATTCTCCAAGCCAGGCTTCAACAGTACATGAACTGTGAACAAGATTAATTCTTTGTCCATTGCTTTGGTTGCTATTATTTTCTCCCATTCTGAAGGCTGTCTTTTCACCTTGCTTATAGTTTCCTTCATTGTGCAAAAGTTTTTAAGTTTCATTAGGTCCCATTTGTTTGTTTTTGCTTTTGTTTCCATTACTCTGGGATGTGGGTCATAGAGGATCTTGCTGTGATTTATGTCAGAGTTTTGCCTATGTTTTCCTCTAGGAGTTTTATAGTTTCTGGTCTTACATTTAGATCTTTAATCCATTTTGAGTTTGTTTTCATGTATGGTGTTAGAAAGTGTTCTAGTTTCGTTCTTTTACAAGTGGTTGACCAGTTTTCCCTGCACCACTTGTTAAAGAGATTATCTTTTCTCCATTGTATATTCTTGCCTCCTTTGTCAAAGATACGGTGTCCATAGGTGCATGGATTTATCTC